AAAGCAGGTAAAAGACCTTACCATTGTTATGTTACAAAAAGCAGGTAAAAGACCTTACTCATTGTTATGTTACAGAAAGCAGGTAAAAGACCTTACTCATTGTTATGTTACAAAAAGCAGGTAAAAGACCTTACTCATTGTTATGATACAAAGACCCAGCCTATCCATCATGAGCACTTTAGCAAAGCAGCAAAAGTTACAGTGGTAAGAAAAAACTGCCTTATTAAAAGGCAGAAATCTTCGGCTGGATCCCCGGCTCATGACGACACAACCTTCACAGGCCTAGACTGCGCCAGGGTTGGAAAGGGATTGGGGGAGAGATGGGATAAGATGCAGGAAGAGGGATAGGGAGCAAGGGGGTGGGGGGAGGCAGACCGTCCATCAACAATCCGGTGGGCAGGGGGGTTGTTCTGGCAGGCTGTCAACCAACGATTGAGAGGAGAGCTCAAGAGCTCCCAGGAAAGTAGGTGGTTAGTGACTGAGATTTACAGATAGATACATGCAGTAATATGATGTACTGTATATGCACAGAGAGAGAGAGAGAGAGAGAGGAGCTCAAGGTTCCAGTTCCCCCGGTAGTCTAAGCCTATAGCAGCATAACTAAGAGCTGGTCTACACCAGCACCAGCCCTAACTATAAGATTTATCAAAAAGGAAAGTTTTAAGTCTATTCTTAAAAATACAGACTGTGTCTGCCTCCCGGACCCCGGCTGGACGACAATTCCAGAGGAGAGGAGCCCGATAACTGAAGGCTTTACCTCCCATAGTACACTTAGAGACTGTAGGTACCACCAGCAGGCCTGCACTCCGGGACCGTAATGTTCTCGAGGGGCAGTACGGCACTAGTAGCTCCTTAAGAAAAGATGGTGCCTGGCCATTTAGAGCTTTGTAGGTGAGAAGAAGGATCTTGAATTCTATTCTAGACTGTATAGGGAGCCAGTGCAGAGAAGCCAACACAAGAGTGATGTGGTCCCTTTTCCTAGTTCTAGTCAGTACACGAGCTGCAGTGTTCTGGACCAGTTGAAGAGTCTTTAGAGACTTACCAGAGCACCCTGACAAAAGAGAATTACAATAATCCAGTCTGGAGGTAACAAATGCATGAACTAGTTTTTCTGCATCATTTTGCGACAGGATATTCCTGATCTTGGATATATTACGAAGGTGAAAATAGGCTGTTCTTGATGAATTCTTGGTGAAAATTTGCCTGATGTGAGAGCTAAAGGACATATCTTGATCAAATAGAACTCCTAGATTTCTAACAGTGGTGCTAGATGCCAGGCTGATGTCACTAAGGACAGTAAAATCACTAGAAAAAGTCTCTCTGAGGTTCTTAGGGCCTAGCACAATAACTTCAGTCTTGTCTGAGTTAAGTAGCAAAACATTTCTGGTCATCTAGGTCTTAACGTCCTTAAGGCACGTTTCTAGCTGACATAACTGACTGGTGCCATCGGGCTTCATTGATACATAGAGCTGAGTATCATCTGCATAACAATGAAACTGTATGGAGTGTTTCCTCATAATATTTCCCAGAGGAAGCATATATAATGTAAAAAAAATTGGTCCAAGCACTGAACCTTGTGGGACTCCATGGCAAACTTTGGTGTGCATAGAGGACTCATCATTAACATGTACAAACTGAGATCGGTCTGATAAGTAGGATTCAAACCAACTTAAAGCAGTCCCTGTAATTCCAAGTAAATGTTCTAGTCTGTATAATAGGATCTGATGGTCAATGGTGTCAAAAGCAGCACTAAGATCTAACAGGACGAGCACAGACAGAAGTCCCCTGTCTGAAGCTAGAAGTAGATCATTTGTAACTCTAACTAGTGCAGTCTCAGTGCTATGGTGGACTCTAAATCCTGATTGAAACTCCTCAAATAAACTGTTGTCATGGAGAAAGTCACACAGCTGATCAGCTACCACCTTCTCCAGGATCTTTGAGATAAAAGGAAGGTTGGATAAAGGCCTGTAGTTAGTTAGAGTTCCTGAATCTAGAGTAGGTTTTTTAAGTAGAGGTTTGATTACCGCTACTTTAAATGACTGTGGTACATAGCCTGCCAGTAGAGACGAATTGATCATATCTAATATAGAGTTGCTAACTAAGGGAAAGACTTCCTTAAACAACTTGGTTGGGATTGGGTCTAAAAGACAGGTTGACGGTTTTGATGCAGAAAAGTACGGTCTGGTTACTTCTTCTTCTTCCTGCTTCTTGGAGGATGTGCACACGGCCCCCTGCTGTGTCGGAGTGTTAACAAAACCCTTCTTCTTCTTTTTTTTAAGTCATCGTGCTCGTTGTTTTGATCAACAACAACATCGAGGCGTCGCTTCACTCCGCTGACGTCGTCAACGGGAGAAGTTTTCAGGACCGTTACCAAGAGATCCCCGATGTTCCTCGTTCTAACATGACCTCTTGAACCTAATCAGGAAGCGTCGTTTACAGCTTCAGACCGTGATAATCCAGATTTTCCACAAACCCTCTGCATCTCCCGTGAGCCTTTGCACCGTCCCAATCAGAAAGCAGCTCTCGTCCAGTCTCAGCCTCACTAATTACATCAATGAGCGTTTGGCAGAATGCTATTGTTGTTACAAATCATCGTCTGGACGCACACACGCACTCACACCCGGCGAGCCAGACGGAAACAATTTCAATTTAATGGTATTTTCACTCAGTGTGTGTGTGTGTGTGTGTGTGTTTGTGTGTGTGTGTGTGTGTGAGTGTGTGTATGTGTGTGTGTGTGTGTGTGTGTGTGTGTTTGTGTGTGTGTGTGTGTGTGAGTGTGTGTATGTGTGTGTGAGTGTGTGTGTGTGTGTGAGTGTGTGTGTGTGTGTGTGTGTGTGTGTGTGTGTGTTTGTGTGTGTGTGTGTGTGTGTGTGTGTGTGTTTGTAATAGCCACCTGCAGCACAGAGATGGATGAGGACCTGATTGAAGCCAGGTGCGGACTTGGAGAAGGCTCTGGTCTCGAGCGAGATAAACAGCAGAAACACAAACATTTACACGAGACGCTTCTCCTCGGTGGCGTTCCCACCGAACTCGCAACGAGTTTAGAAGGACTTCCTGTCATGGAGACCCGGTTTAGAGCCGACACTCACTGAATATCCGAATATGTCTCAGTTAAAGACTGTACACAAAGTGGGCGGAGCATCGGGTCTAAAAATGGAAGCCAATGCAGACGTCCTGAGTCAACCAGAACCAGAACCAGAACCAGAACCAGAACCAGAACCAGAACCCAGTGAGAGGACAGAGTCTCTGCAGACACAGTCACCACCACACATGTATGGAGGCCCAGAAGGGACGATGGAGCAGCTTCACTTTAGGAGAAGCCTATATTTTATTTTGAAAGAGAAGTCTGTATTTTATTTTGAAGGAACAAGCTGCTGAATCTGCCTTTACTTTAGGAGACGTCTGTATTTTATTTTGAAGGAACAAGCTGCTGACTCTGCCTTTTAACCTTTTCTCTCTCTCAGGGATTTGAACTACAACACCCTGGTGGAGTTTCCGATGGCCGTCCGCTCGCTCGGCCACCTCAAGGAGCTGTAAGTCTGATTCTGGAATTAAATCAAATCAAATAAAAAAAAAAAAACTGATAACAATCCTTGTTTTCTGTTCAGTGGTTTCCATAGCAACAACATCCAGTCCATCCCAGAGCACGCCTTCACAGGAAACCCCTCGCTGATCACCATGTAGGTACCGCTGACTCACTGAGTGTCGTCCAATCAAAACGCTCTCCACTCAAACACATTCTCCTGTTTTCAATGTTTGACAGATTCTTCTACGACAACCCGATCCAGTCTGTGGGACGATCCGCCTTCCAGAACCTCCCGGAGCTCCGAACACTGTGAGAGACGGAGCGAGCGCTGTCTTAGAATAAAGAGTTAGTCCAGGTCTACGAGACAAACAGATTAATGACAAACAACAAAACTTTAGAGCATCAGAAATCTGACCAATAAGCTTCCAGCAGGTCTCATGTTTACAAACAACATTACATTCTCTGGGATGAAGCGACATGAACATCATAATCCTCTAAATGTTTAGAATTAAAACCAGAAGTCAGTCACATCCTGAAATAACAAATTAAACTCTTAAAACACAAACTGATCAAATATTTACAAACTTTCTGTTTCAGCTCGCTGAACGGAGCCGCAGACCTCACCGAGTTTCCAGATCTGACAGGAACCAAGAGTCTGGAGAGCCTGTAAGAGACACACACACACACACACACACACACACACACACACACACACACACACACACACACACACACACACTGTTTGCTGTTATTAATACTCTCAGTTTTTATTCCCTCCGTCAGACTGTAACTTTATTTTTCTGCCGCTCGGCCTGAAATTGAATCCGTCTTTCCTGTCGTTGTTGTGACCCACTTTCCCCGTGTCATAATAAACACCTTCGGCGTGTTTATTTTCTTCTATTTTTCCATTAACACTCGTTTCTGAAAGCAGCGTGTGTTTAACGGTAACCTCGCTCTGAACCGGCCGCTGAAATAAAAACTCCAAGCAAACACACCGTCACACATTCTTCAAGTCTCCATCCCAGTGTTCCTGAACGCCTCACAGTGATGTCGAGCAGCATACAGTTAGACTTACACAACGTGTATGTTGAGTTCAGTTAACTTACTTTATCTTAAGACTGTAAAGATGAACCTGAACACACCATGATGAAATACTTTAAACACAAGTATTCAAACAGATACGTTTTTTTAAATGTCCCTGAACACATCACATTAGTTATTTATGTCCCTGAACATACCAAACTGCTTTTTGTCTAAAAATCACGCCATTGCTTTATAAATGGGGTGAAAAAAAAACACATCACATAGCTTCTTACACGCACCTGAACGCACCGTCCAGTATTCAAACCTGACCGGTTGGATTACGGTTTAATGCCTGATTACCCGACCTGACAAAAATGAACATGTTTCTTTTCTGTGTGTGTGTGTGTGTGTGTGTGTGTGTGTGTGTGTGTGTAGGACTATAACAGGAGCTCGGATCACCTCTCTGCCTGCTTCAGTTTGTGAGCAGCTTCCAAACCTTCAGCTGCTGTGAGTTGATGGATGACTTCATTTAATCCATTAAAATGTGTTGAAATAGTTTAATGTATCAGGTCAGGAGTGTCTTCCTGTTATTATCCAAACATTTCATTTGTCATGTTTTGCTGTGAGCTGCTGTTGACATGCTGCTTCGTGATGCGTTCACTGTCCTTTGGATTTCTGAACCTTCATGACATGAAGCTCTTCTCCCCACAGTGATCTCTCCTACAATCAGATCGAGAGTCTGCCGAGCTTCTCCGGCTGTGAGAGCGTCCACAAGATGTGAGTCTGTTTTTCATTTGGTTTATTTTTATATATTTTTTATTTGACAGATTTAGTTCACAGGTAATACTCCCTGAAATCACAGACTCCATTCAGTTCAGGTTCAAAATAAACGCCGGCTAACCGCTCGATCACGCTACGATGGCCCAAACGATTTCCATTGTGGGAATAATTAACACATTTTGTTTCACCAATCAGATCGCTCAGAAGGAAAGAATCTCTCTGCTGACAAACAGAATGATAAACGTGATGTCACGGAAATATTGTGTGTGTGTGTGTGTGTGTGTGTGTGTGTGTGTGTGTCTGTGTGTGTGTGTGTGTGTGTGTGTATGTGTGTGTGTGTGTGTGTGTGTGTGTGTCTGTGTGTGTGTGTGTGTGTGTGTGTATGTGTGTGTGTGTGTGTGTGTGTGTGTGTCTGTGTGTGTGTGTGTGTGTGTGTGTGTGTGTGTGTCTGTGTGTGTGTGTGTGTGTGTCTGTGTGTGTGTGTGTGTGTCTGTGTGTGTGTGTGTGTGTGTGTGTGTGTGTGTGTGTGTGTGTGTGTGTGTGTGTGCTGTAGTGATCTGCACCATAACAAGATAGAGGAACTGGAGGAGAACACCTTCCACGGTCTGATGTCACTACGCTCTCTGTAAGAACACACACACACACACACACACACACACACACACTCTGCAGCTGTAATTAGCCTGCAGCTCTGAGCACTGATCCGGAGATGCCCTCTGTAAATGCTCCTAAATGGAAGCAGACCCGGGTCCAGGTGGTCTGCTGGATGATGGGACAGGTATGATGACATCATCTGGCTCCAGAAACTTTCACTGAAACACCACAAACAACACTCAGATGTTCAACTAAACTTTAGATTCTGCTCCTGAATGCTCTGGATTTGTTTGGACCAGAGAAGGTAGGCACTTTTAAGACCCCCCCCACACGGCCGTTTTGGACGCCCCTCTGTTTGTCAGATATGAGAGCAGTTATCAGGTCAACAGGTGTTGCAGTGATGGAAGCGGTCAAGAGAAGTGGTTCAGATAGAAGTGATTGTACCCGACCTAAAAAGCCTCTGCATGTTTCTAATAAGCTCCACGAGCAGAAACGTGCTCAAACTAGGATCAATATTGGAGATGCTTTTGAAAAATGGAGAGAGGTTAGAACACAGAAAGGTTTACAGACCCATGCAGAGCTGGATAAACACTGAAGCTTCAGAGTCCACCACATGGTGACCTGAGTGAGCATCCACTCTAGAGAGGAGGGGGGGGGGACAGCTCTCTATGATGTTTAGAATTTAGACTGCAGTACCCATTTTAAACACTAGGGGGTTACATGGGGGGGGGGAGACAGCTCTCTATGATGTTTAGAATTTAGACTGCAGTACCAGTTTTAAACACTAGGGAGTTACATACTGCTCCTTTAAAGTAGAAACACTTTGACTGCTGTTTCGCTTTCACAACTTTTTCTAAAATCCACCAAAGATCCGACATATTTCAGTTGGATAATCGCTTTAAATTCCGGGTGATTATAACCCCGAGTCACAGGTAACACTAACGGTGAACTGAGCATCATTGTATTATCGTATTATAGAAATCAGATTATAACACAAACACTTTCTTCATGCCGGGCTGAGAAACAAAGAGCGGCTGTTCAACGAGAAGCCGAGGTTAATCTGAGCTCACGTCTAATCCTCCTCTGTGTTCAGAAGCAGGTCAGCGCCCTGCGGGGGTTAGAGACACATTAAATGTTCATTTCTCATGTTAGATATGATCTTCAATAGAAGGTGGTTCGATTCCCTGACTCTCGCTCTCTCTCTCTCTCTCTCTCTCTCTCTCTCTCTTTCTCTCTCTCCTGTGTAGTGATCTATCGTGGAACAAACTGTCATCAGTGAAGCCGAACTCTTTCTCTGCTCTGCCCGCTCTCTCCAAACTGTGAGTAACAAAACAAATCAACCAAACGTATCTTCACCTCATCGATCTTCCACTCAGACCCGAGGGTGCAGCTTCTCTACACTCAGGGCCTGATCAGCAGAAACATTTGATTATATTTGCAGAAACGTGCTCAAACTAGGATCAATATTGGAGATGCTTTTGAAAAATGGAGAGAGGTTAGAACACAGAAAGGTTTACAGACCCATGCAGAGCTGGATAAACACTGAAGCTTCAGTGTCCACCACATGGCGACCTAATCAGCAGAAACATTTGCGCTGCTTTTGCGCCAGCTTTACCCGTGCAAATAAGAGAAAAAGATGGCGTGCAATCCACAAAGCTCAGAGTGCGCCCATCCCATTTCCCATCCATGTGAATCAGGGAATCTCCAAAAACTTCAGCGCAAATTTTCCCCTTCATCTGATCCATAAAGACCAACGCTAATCGCCACATGCAGTTACAGAGGTGCTGTTTAAAGCCATTCACCTTTTGTTAATTCTTTAATCTCTCCTTCTCTCTTCTTTCCCGCCTCACTCAGTAAAATGCAAAAAAGAAAGCACATGCGCCGCAGCATTTATAAGAGATGTGAAGCTCAAACTTTTCCACCTTCAAAATAAAAGCGCTATAAATAAATATGAATCTATTTTTTTTTCTCTGTCCCTCTTTGCAGCGACCTGTCGTCCAATCGCCTGTCGTCCTTGCCTCTGATTGGTCTGCAGAGTTTAACTCACCTGCGATTGGCTGGAAACATGGAGTTGATGGAGTTACTCCCCCGAGAGGACCTGCCCAGAGTCAGGTAAACACTCACAGAGAACACTTTACATACATCACAGATATATCACAGATAGAAACTAATCAAGCCTGCAGCTGAAACATGAACACACAGAGCAAAATGATTCCTGCTGCGACGCTGGACCTCCAACATGGCTGCCAGAGGCGGGATGACATCACTGACATCAATTTATAAACTGCAGTGTGTGTGCGTGTGTGTGTGTGTTCAGGGTGATTGAGCTGCCCTACGCATTCCAGTGCTGTGCCTTCATCTCCTGTGAGAGGAGAGGAGGAGGAGGAGGCTCATCCTGGGAGAGAGAGGAGGCAGCAGTCTCTACGAGGAGAGAATCCTCCGTCCTCTCCAGCCAAGGTCGGTCCAAACACTACAATTCTACAATTCACTTAGCAGACTCTTTTATCCAAAGCGACGTACATCAGAGAGTAAGAACAACACAAGCAAGGATCTAGAAAAAAGGGAACAATGTCAGTAAGAGCAAACGATCAGCTTTGAGTCTGATTGGACACACAGGTGCTGACAGGAAGTGACCAGAGGCAAAGCACAACATTGAGGGCAGTTCTTGAGAGCTCTAATCAGTATAGAAACCATCTTATAAGTCGTCGTTATCAAACAAAAACCATCGTCATTACCATCATCATCATCAATAATATGGAGACCATCATCATTAAGTTAGTAGGTATTCATGAAAGAGCTGGGTCTTTAGCTTTTTCTTAAAGGTGCAGAGGGACTCTGCAGATCACATGGAGTTTGGAAGTTCATTCCACCACCTGGGGGCGACAGAGGAGAAGAGTCTAGTCAGCGTCTTAGGACCCGTCTTAGGACACTAACCACTGAATCTCAAACTAAACATATTATCTGC